TGGATTCCAACCCTATTTAGGTGGTTAACTGTTTTTCTTTCATTTTATGATCCCCAAAATGCAAGCGACGATTCCACTTCTCGTCCTTGAACTGGCATTCTATTTTGGAGCCTTTTAAATAGTTCTAAGCCAACAAATTTCTTCTAGGCATTTCTACAGCCCTTATACTTTCTGAGATCCTTGAGTTCATACAGACGGACGGACAGACGGACATGGCTTTATCGACTCGTCTTGTCATCCTGATCAAAAATATATATACTTTGTGGGGTCTGCCAAGCTAAACTAGTATAGCCTTATACCCTTTGGGTACAGACTGTAAAAAGTACGATTAAGAAAGAAATGAAAATGAATAAAACGAGCTTAGAAGTGCAATCTCATATAAAAGATTTTCATTCATTTTCATGGGGAAAATTATAGCGAGATATACATACATACATACGTGTATGTACATACTCGTATGTATAGTATATATGAGTTATGCATCAATTTCCTCGTTGCCCTTCCAACCCGGCCAATATTTGAGTCTGCTTCACCGCCCCGTTGGTCGTTGGTTATTGCATTGTACAATACATAAATTTGCGCTGACGTCACAAGTGTCCTAGATAATCGTCGAGCGCGTCGAGGTGAAATGTATAAACATCAACTCATGGCAATTTTAGACGCAACATTTGTGCCGCCAGCAAACACACAAAAACACCTTACATCTTTACTGTGTGTATACAAATGTATAGTACAAGTATGTAGATATATACATAGATACTATATGTGTATCAAAATAGCAATAACAGAAAAGCGATGAAGGTGGCGAGCGGTGAGGCACGTGCCAAAGTTTGTTTGGAAGCTGTGCGCCGCGGCCTGCAATTGACGTCGCTACTTATTTTTGACTAAAAATTACAATTTGACTTTTATTTCTCCTTTCATTGGGTGGATGGATACACACAAATACACACACACACACACACACACACACACACGCGTATGTGTAAGCATTTAAGCTGGCACGCTCAAGTGGAGTCCTTCACCGTTAGCTTTCCTCAATGAATCTAAACAGCTACCATCCACCAACCAGCCACCCATTCCACCCACAATTTACAGCATCATCATCGTCACTTACCTACCACAGCGACAGCGCCTGTTGGCCTAGTTCCACATGACGACACAAATCAGCAGCAACAGCAACAACAGCAACACCAACAACAACAAATACGAAAGGGCATCTTTTCGTGTGGATGCCATTCGGGCGACGGGCACCTCTGTGAATGAAAATTGTGCGCGCACTCTCTCTCTCTCTCTCTTTAATGCTCTTTCGCCCCACTGTCTCTTACGCGCACAGTTGTGCTCAGATTTGTGGCGTCATCATCATTGAATGGTTTATCCTTCAGAGTTGGGGTAAAATGTCATTCTTGGATTTTGCAAAAGGCACACACATCCGCATACATACGTAAACAAGCATATATACCCACACACACACATACAAATGTCGTATGGACTTGTGTGTGTGTGTGTGTGTGTGTGTGTGGTGCGCCTGCCCCAAGGCAAAAAGTTGGCGAAAGAAAATCAATGAATGAACACGCACCAACAAAAAGTTTTTCTCAATGAAAACCGCCGCACCACGTTGTCATTTATTGTTTTATGAAGTTATTACAGGTTTAACTGAGCCGCGCTGACTAGGCTTATTGCATTTTATATACACGTACATATGTATTCCCTATTTAGTTAACTAAATATGACCGCAAGCAATTCACACACACATTGGCAAACAAATGACATACTGATACGTGACGCCGCGACGCGCATTGAAAATGCGAAAAATATAAAACGAAAAACGACTCGCCCATTGATAATAAACATTTAATTTATTGCACAATACACGCCAAGACACTTTTGGGCAGACACTTTAATTTTAATAAACGTTTATTGCACATTTTTGCGCGGCAACAAAAGCAACGGCGTCGGCGAATAAAAGAGGCAGACAGATCGGCGCGCAAGGTTGCCAGATCGTTCTCAAAATGTTAAGCAGCTGATGCTGATTGCATTTGAATATACTACATACATACACATGTGAAGATAAAATACATTTAGTTTTTGCCGTACCCAGAAGGGACCTGATAACAAGAAATGTTGACCTAGACTTGTGCACCAGTCTGTATAAGTGCAATGTTATTCGAAAGTTTAAGATCTAGTTACTAAATATCGATACATCGATGTATTTTCACACGAGCAATAGCTTTCAGGTCCAACTGGATGTTCTTCTCTTCAATGCAGCTTTGGGCATGTAGCGGCTTTTTCGGCTCCAAGTGCTCTTTCCGTTATGTCCAGACGCGCAAGCAGAGTGCTGGACGCGACCGGGCTTACAAAAACAAAATACATGCAGATGTTGCCAGCGAAGCGCACAAGCAGATTGATACAAAAACAAAATACACGTAGGATTTACTCATAGCTGTAGCCCTGCACATTTTTGTTGTACAGTAGATGTTGTACCGATTAAAAATTTCGTGCCCACCCCTGCTTTAATGTTTCGATGTATTATATGTAAGTCGATCGAGTTTTGTTTTTGATTTAGACATCGATCTTTCGAACATCTCTAGTGTAAAATAGTAGATCAAAAGTTCTACGAATATAAACAAAAACTACAAAATAACAAATGTTAATCGAAAACAACTGCTAAGGCGCTAGAAGATGTGCGTCAATAAAGGGTATAAGTTAATGAAAATAAAATAAAAAAAAAATACCACGGAATACCAGTATACACCAACGAAAAATGCATCACTTGCATAGTTTAGGAAATAATTGGTTACATTTTTCGGGTACATACAAGTATACATACATACATATGTACATATATAAATAGCCAAGGGCGTAGGCAACTTTTACCAGGGGGGGGGCCAAAAAATTAAAATTTTGATTTTAAAACAAGCTAGGGGGGGGGGGGGTTAATTCCAAAAAATAAAATAAACTCGTCCTTTCTCGGACCTAGGAGAATCTGGATACCAACTTTGGTTATTCTAGGTCTTATAGTTTCTGAGATCCTTGCGTTCATCCAGACGGACATGTCTGGATCGATTTCTCTCGTCATGCTGATTCAGAATATATATACTTTATGGGGTCGGAGATGCTTTCTTCTGCATGTTACATACTTTGCACAAACCTAATATTCCCTTTTTACCCTACGGGTACAGGGTATAAAAAAGAACGTGTGTAATAATCGATGCATCGTTGTCAAGCAAATTGAAGCATCCTTTAAACCTTGACGATTTTTGTTTGATGATCGGAAGAGAGTTTGCCGCAACATTCCCCTAGCTAGGAGAAACCTCTGCATGGAAGGATGCAACTAGTGTGCAGATAAAGATACTCGGTCTCCACTATGATGTTTTGACCCATACGGATATTAGTTTATTTCGAAAAGGGCTATATCAGTAGAATTCCCACACGACTAGAATGGGAAAATACAACTCTATAAGCTACTCGCGCTATTAAAGGATGGCTCCAAATTATAAGAATGAGCCGGAAAGCAATACTCGTGCAAGGAAATAAGACTCTCATTCCTTCTTTCGGACCACTGCAATGATTACGGAAGCATGGAGGTAGCAGGGCGATTTACAAACACAAGAAGCGTCTAAGGCGCTCGATGCCATAGATTTCTTAAAGGGATGGCCTGAAGAGTCAGTGTCAATACTACAAGGCAGAAGAAACTTGATCTGCCTAGAGCTTAGAGGAATACAAATAACAAGATTGGCTATTCTAGCCCTGGTACTTACCGAGATCCTTGCGTTCATCCAGACGGACAAGCCTAACATAACTTTTTACCTACATTTTCAGTATTTTGTAGTGCGTGTTTAGTGTACCTTATCAGATATCTATATTTTACAGGGTATTATTGCATCAAAAATCTATCAATATCCGCATGATTTGTGCTGAAAGTTGAATAAATGTCGGTACTGCATGTTGCATTCTTTGTCCAGAATTAGCTTCCATTTAAGTTGGTAGCAGTATTGTTAGAGCTTACTGGGGTCTGTCCATTCGGATTTATTGTCTTGCAGATCTGGAACACGTGCAGTTACAGTTACGCACATTGACGCTAATTGACGCACTTGAAGCAAATTACCTTTGGCGCATTGCAACTAATTCATGCCACACTTGAGCTCATTTTGCCCGACAAGCAACAACAGCAGCAGCAGCAGCAGCAGCCACCAAGGCTTATCGTTTGAAGGACCTGCATTGAAGCGAGCCTGCATTTGCGTCATTCACAAAGTGCTGCAGTAGTACATGTCCTATGTACAAGTATATACAAGTATGTACAGATGTAAATATATACATAGTATGTGGATACATAAGTGCAACATATAAACATATACGCGCGAGTACATGTGCGCCACAATTGTCCTTCCACGCCCGTGGCAGGTTGAATGAACTCGCACGTTGACCCAGTTTTGCAGCGACTACTGCGACTACCATCCTGGCGCTTCATTCACAACATCCTTGCTGCGTTCAATGACATGCCAACAACATAGCCAACAGAGCCAGCCAACAAGAGCAGCGCAGCAACCAGCCACCAAGGACCCATCGCATGCTTTGGATGAATGAAAAACTCAACAGCAGCTCGTTAGTTTGCCCATTGCGCATGCCAAGTGGGTCAATATCCTTAATGGAGGCTACGCCCACACGTCATTGGCAGCCCGGCGGCAATGACGTCATGCGCTGACACACATTTTCCTATTGTTATTATTCATTTCTTTAAAGTTTCACATCAACACACACACTCGTTTATTTGCTTCAGTTTTTCTCGTTTTGTACAACTTTTATTCACTAACAGGCGTATAACAAAAAAGCGCAGCAAAATTGTTTTCTCATGTAAAAAGCGTTTAAAAATTTCATTTGATTTGATTTGATTTAAAACCAATAACACAATGCAGTACTTTTATGTACCATATGTAAGTGACGCGACTGTAAACCATAATTAATACAAAAATTAAACTTAAACTGTTTTTCTTTTCTTTTTCTTTTTTGTTTGGCGGAGGGGGCGGCAGCGGCGGCCCAGCTCGGATGGAGGGCATGGTCTCGAGCATAAGCAGTCTATAATGTAGTACATAGTCGTAATAGTTTGCGGTTGTTCTAGTTATTGTTGTTGTACGTATTATATAGCGGATGTTTACAAAATCTCAAACAATTTCTTCAGTTCAACCATAAGGGCCCAATCAGCCTTGATCAGATCATCACGGAAATAATCCTTGCAGGCATCGATGCTCTGACGAGAGATCTGAAAGGATGATGAATTGAGGAGAAGAATTTCAATAAATTACTTTCCTATATAATGTAAAAGAGCTATCTTAATAAATAAAGCTTAATCAGCTACAGAAAAAAGAGTTCTAACTATAATCTGCTGTCGAGCGGTTATAGGTCTAGTTGTTCCGAAGAATTCAATGTTCATACAGTCGAACGGATATCTATGTATAAAAGAATAGTATTAGCTGGAGACAATCAGATTACTTAAAGTTGACAAACAACGCCTGAGTTGATGGAATGTAGATAACCTTTGAAGAGCATATTTGACTTTTTTACTCGTCCATGTTAGGTGCAATTTTTAAATAATTGGCTTTTTCCAACCCGAACTTTTCTATATAATGTAATTGGGCTATTTTAATAAATAAGGCTTAATTAGCTACAGAAAAAAGAGTTCTAACTATAATCTGCTGTCGAGCGGTTATAGGTCTAGTTGTTCCGAAGAATTCAATGTTCATACAGTCGAACGGTTATCTATACACACGTAGTCAATAGTAACAAATAATATAACTTAAGCTTGACCAAAGGATCTAACCAACGCCTGACATAATGGAATGTAGGTGACCTCCTAAGAGAAAACTAGTCTTTCTTGCATAATTCTTCTAAAATTTGACTTACTTCCTTTCATGAAGAGGATTAATAATGAAGGCTTGCTTAAATATTTTGGGGATAAAATGTTTTGGAGACAAGCACAATAATTTCAGCCATAATGTCCAAGAAATAAATCATGAATGTCAATATCAACATTTGGAACGTGCCAATTGTCTGAGGAAGGGAGGGAGGAAGTGAGGAGCGGATCAATCAAATGAAGCAATGGGTGGCACGTGCGTCGTTCCCGGACCCTGTTGGCCTCCAGACGTTGGAGACGTCGACGCGCGTTATGGCGCATAACAATTAAAAAATTTAATAATGCCTTTTCTTTTTCGATTTCAGCAGCTTTTATTGTGCTTATCGTTTTTGCCATTTAGTGTCGCCATTTTTACGGCGATTTTTTAATGTGTTTCGGTTTTTATGGGCAGTTCGCCCGCGCCCGCTCCCACTCCCGCTCATAGTGCCTGCGACTGCCTGGGTTTATGAATAGTGCTTTTTGTCTCCTGATTAAAGGCGCGCTCTGATAAACGGCAACTGAGCCAGGTATATTTTTCTTAACTCTTTAATTATTATTTTTTGCAAGTGGTTGGTAAAAAAAAAAAAACGGAAGAAGAAAAACAGGCGCATATTAATTAGCCAGCGAGCATTGATTATGGCAAGTTTTATAACAAAAGATGCGTCTAGACGATAAGTTGCAGCAGGAGTATAAACGATGTTTATGGCTGTGAATACTTAAGTGGTCTTTTGTGTGCCGTGGTTGAAGGATAAAGCGGCTTTAACGAAACGAAGGAGACAAAAGCTCTAAACTTGAAAATAAACGTTGTGTCTAGCAAAACTAAGAATGAAGAGATTGAACCTAAGTGGAAATCTGAACCTCAATACTATTCATATTTCGAAGCTGAAAGGATGCTACGAAGTCTTAAAGCGGAGGCGAGTTGGCTTTTAAAACGAATTCGCATGAAAAAAGAACATAAGCCTAGAGTAATATAAATTGGATTGGACAATTTTTAAAGCAATTAGTTGAAATGGTAAGGAATTTATTACTGTTTGGGGTTATGCGTTAATTATGTACCCTTTTTCCTATTTGTGTTCCAATTTTTATGCCGGGCACCCAAAAAAACAAAAATTCTAAAAACGAAGAGTTCAGGCATATGCATAGCTGTCGTAGAAATGACAATGTAAGATCTGTTAAAATATTTAATAAACGGATTTAATAAGAACACTAATGCTCAGCTCATGCCAACTAGTACATAAGTAAAATCACAAAGCAATTGCAGCTATTTTTGGAGCCAGACTCTAACACCCCTATGGGATCAGCACACATACTCGTACATACTTGTACATACAAGGGCAATCATTCAACCTCAGTTGTCGCTAAAACTTAAAACCGGGTCACAAATGCGTCATAGCGAGATGCACCGATGAAAAGCCAAAGCTCAATTCGCACAATACGCAAAGCCGACGATTCATACATGTGGGTCAAGTGACTGAGTGTCCAAAACATAAGACTCCAAGGGAGGGGGCGCCCGCAGGCCCCACGTGTCGTGCTGCAGCCAGAAAGTAGGTTACTGCAGCCGTCGACGTCGGCGTCGTAGTCGTCGTCCGCGACAAAAGTCAATGAACGCATGCTGTGCAAGTGCATTGCCGTGGAAGGTAAAATGTGACGTCAGCAGCAGACTATATAGTATTATACATATACATAGATATGTACTGCTATATGCTGCAAACATTCCTTGGCCAATAAACCGCCGCCTAACTAGGCGCCCGTTGGCCGGGCCGGGTCGGTCTCGGCATTTGGGTATGAGCTTTGGGTCAGGTCAGCCATGACATAATACCCTTTCATGCTCTAGTGTACGAGCATATGAAAAGGCATTGAATGCTAAAAATAGCAACTGCCTGTAAATAGATTCGAGGCAGTGGGTTGGAATTGGGGATGGAGGAGGCCTTGGCGCTGTCAGCTTTTGATGTTATATTTTGTATTGTTCTGTGCGTTACACAGTGGCTCGCATCGTCCAACAAGCTCGACCGAATTGTCGATGGTAATCGGTACACAATTTGTGCCTAAACAAATCCCATCAATAATTATTGGGGAATTTTAAATGAAATCTACAAGTTTTGCAGCTTCTATGACTTGAACAAGAACAACTTGCGTAGATATCTTTTATAGAGGTTTCCGTGGAAACTATTAAGCTGATAACTATATAGAGCTTGTCGAGGAAATTCCCTCTTAACTTCAAGAGTTTAGGCTGTTGATCATTGATGGTAGATTTTATTGAAGAACTATGAGAACGCTTCCATCAATATATAAAAAGAATGAGGAAGAGCTATCAAGGCATATGGGATGATCACATGATGGCTAATTATTGCTGGGGACTTGGCCAAGCCAATTTCACTCAAGAAAATCACTCAAAAGACAATTTCTAAATGTAAAATCCCATAAAAAAATTGATACTTTTGTAAAATTGTGTTTTCCCCATTTTATACAATAGAGATGTTATATAAAATTTGTTCTTCTGTATCAGCTCACGAGACATCGATCTAAAATCTTCGGCACCAAAATGGGTGTCGGCCAGTGTAATATAAACTTGTAATGCCTTACGACCAGAATGCCTTCCAAGTTTAATCAAAGTTTAGTCATTCAGACAAACAGATGACGATAGACAGACGGATATATCTAAAGAATAAAGAATTTATATAGAAGAAGAAGAAGCTACTTTCCGACTGGTACTTAGTACTTTACAGAAACCTTATATAGTCTGTATACGCTTCAAAACTTTGAAATATTTTCTAGCTTATACAAAAGTTTTTTAAATAGAATAAAATGCTTACAAACATTTTTAGAATATAAATGGAGCTAATACATATGGAAACGCGATATATCTACTTGTATAAGCATTAACAGGCTGTAAAATGAGGAAAATCTATACATCTACTTAGTTAGATTATAGCCGATTTGCTTTTTACGAAATCATCTCCTTATTTTGGTCCAAAAATATTTGTTAAGCCAAATAAATGAATACATTTTGAAACCCTTTACGAATTTATTTCTTCAAATTCAAATAAATATTGAGCAATTCAAGAATACAAATGTTATGCCAAATAATTTGAATACATTTTGAAACTCTTTAAGAATTCGTATACTTGTGAGAATGGTTGAAGATATTTCTTCAAATTCAAATAAATATTGAGTAATTCAAGAATACAAATGCGCTTCACACCATTGTGCGTTACGAGAAAACTGGATTACTCAACCAACATAGGGCCGCCTGCCTATGCGGCACTCAGCAACAGTTTTTTACACGAAATTAATTTAATAAACTGAACGAGAAGTGAGCTCAGTGAGCAATTACCACAGCGGCTGACGTCATTGATGTCTCGTGTCGATTATGTTGATAAGGGTGAGCGGCGAGTGTACCGTTATATTACACTGAAATAGCGCAGAAATTAATTTTATTATCGATTCGATTTGAAGCGGCAATTCATTAGTTAACAGGCAGCAGGCATGGGGGCCCAACATTCCCCCCACACTTATATTTGGAAGAAACCAGTTGACGTCAGCAAAAATTTTTAAGTAAATTCCTTGCCTAACTATGTTATGCAGATATGTACATATATACCAAGTATATACTCGTACATATACATAGCTGTGCGGGGGGTTACAAATATAGAAGCTGTGCAAAACCTTTTAACGCCACTGAAGTGTACTGTTTCTGTTAAAATTTGACTTTTTGTTCTCTTGGCTTTTACACAACATGGTCATGTAATTTGATAAGGTGGCTATCGACGGGCTGCCAACATTTAAGTGGGGGCAGGCAGATGTGGCTACAACTAGCCTTGGCTACACATGCAGTGACACAGCTCAAGTATTTGAGGGCTGAGTGGCAGGCACAATTATTTATGGGGCTGTACTATAATTGAACTGGGAACCACCTAATGGACATCAGCATGCATAGAATTGTTTTATTACAATTTTAAGTGGCCCTACCTAACTATGAAGTGGTCAAGGGGCTATAAACCTATTTATGTACATACATAAATTTAAAAGTGAAAAATTTTAGACAACGCATTTCAAAGAGTTTTCAAACTTAAGTCATATTTCATTTTAAATGGCTTAAAAATATTGGGAGATAGACAAATGTGTGCTAATTTGGCATAGAAAGGGCAAGAAAGAAAGGCAAAGAAAGAACATTTTTACAAATAATAATACACTTCAGCTTAGGTAGCTCTGGTAGCTTCCAATACTTACAGGTTCCGACTTACAGGCGTTCAGACGTGCAGACAGAAGAATATTTATCAGCCTCCAGCCCTAACATATGTTCTACTGCAGATTCGAATTCGAAGTACAAAGCACTTTCAAACTTTGCATAAAACTAGAACTGTGCTCAATTTAAAAATCTGTGGCGAGCTCTTCTTGTTTTGTTGTCAAGTAAACTTGAAGCAGTTGATTTAAGAAATCTCAAGTTTTGTCTTTGTCTTAGGTTCTCCCTTAGAACAAATACTTCACCCATAAGATATGCCCGATTGGCAGTTGTTTTGCTGTTCAAGTAGCTTGTTGACAATTGTAATCGATTATAAACAATTATATTGCCAATAACAATACACTTAAGGGTATTGTACACAAATTTCCGCTTTCCATGGTCGTTTGTGCCCTCCACTTGAAACACTCGCCCAACTTTCCATTAACCAAAACACTCACCTTGCTGACAAGCATGTCATCCGCCTCAAAATGACGTCCAAACATTTTCGGTGATTCACCAGGAATTGGTTCGATTTTCACACAAATCTCTTGACCTTTGCGCGCAAATTCAATTTGCTTGTGATTCGATTCAATGGAGGTAACAATGCCAATGTCCACAAACTGCAAAGAAATGTAGAAGAACGATCAAAGTTAGAGAAAGCGAGACACATTTCATTTGAGCGAATTAATAAGTTAATAATGCAATAGCTTAGCCACACATATGACAACATTTGTGCGGACTACGTGGCGTATGTGCAATCCGCTTAGCGGTAAATTAGAAAAAGAATCGTCGACACTTCCGTGTGTCATTCCCTGAATTGCTGATAAGCTTCAACAAGCCTCATTTGCGTTCGACTCGTTGGCTTGCAACTCATTTCGTATGCGCATCGCATCGACCGGAGTCACTGACAGATAGTCGTACCAAGTGACAAACGGACGGATGGACAGTAAAGTCTGCCCATAAAATAACTTCACGTTAAGCCAACAGAAACCACAACAATTACACAACACGAAAACATATCACCATTCTCATATGAAACGGTTACAATTTCATACCAAAAAAAGAAAAATAAAAAAGTATTTTAAAACTGACAAGAACCCTTTTAACTCTTATGAAGATTGTAGGATTACTCTTAATTAATGTCGGTAAGCTATAGTCGAGATTAAATCAAACCGGTAAGATACGAATAGCAACCGTTTGCCCAGTTTTCAGATTTTTCCTTTTTTTTTTTTGTCTTACGTATTTTTATTTATAAGTAAACGAATAATAAATAATAGGATTCAGATTATTTGTTTGGTAACAAAAAACTACTATAGTATCTGTACGACGAAAAAAAACTTGTTTTAAATAGAAAACTGCTTTTTTATACCCCCTGTCCAAAGGATACTGTAGTTTTTTTTACTCAATACTCTCGTGTTTAAGACATTAATGTAAGTTTTTGTATTAATAATAGTAAAATTAATATAGGAATGAAAAAATATCTTAAGCCGTCATCCGTCTGGAAAAAAAATTATGCACTTTAAAATAATATATCAAAAAAAAAAAAAAATATATATATATATATATATATAAAATAAAAACAAGTAGAGAAGCTAAAGTCGGGTATACCGACTTTGAAATACTCTGTACATATGTGTAGTATAATTATGCGTATCTATGCGTGTATGTGTGTGTTTGTATGTGTCTGTGTGCCTGTGCAAAGCAGAAACAACAACAAACTCGACATATGGACTCATAATCACTAACGGGAGGTATTTTTCGAATTTCAATGAAAAATTCCAAGAATTAAGGGAGTTATGGATTGCTGGAGAGAGGGGGGAGGGAAATTCCAAAATACACATTTTCTGCGTATACAAATAAGACACTTGGGACTAAAATTTGGTGTCCCTGGGTCTTATAGTCCCTGAGATATAGGTGTCTATACGAATGGAAAATCGGGAAAACCCCTTTAGGGGGGAAAATCAAAAATAAACACAGCATAAGGCATTTTTGTGCAAAATTTGGTGTCTCTATCTCTTATAGTCTCTGAGATCCAGGTGTTCATACGGACGGACAGACTGACAGACGGACAGCCGCTGATCAAGAATATATATACTTTGTGGGGTCTGCCACGCCTCCTTCTGCCTGTTACATTTTTCACCTCCCTCAAACCTTATATACCCTTGTACATTTCATGTACAGAGTATAAAAACGTACAAATCTGTAGTGTATTTCTTTCAGTGTTCTAAAGAAAGGCCTACCAAAATGCCAGCAAGTTGTGCCTATCGGTGAGCATCTGGTGCAATTTGTATGTGCTTCATGTGTGGCGACTGAGACAGACCGACAGACCAGCAGCGACAGACGGCTGGCGACCGGGGACAACTTCCTCAATATTGTGCCACTGATAAACGAAAAATGAAAATTGTGGGTGGTATTTAGTGGCTTTTGGGTTGGCCGCCTAAGCAACAGATAAAGCCGCCGCACTATCGGCTATGGAAGTCGTTGAACTAAATTGTAACATGTTGTTGTTGTTGTTGCTGTTGTTTCACCGGTTGTTGTTGTTGTTGCTGTTTTGGTCGCAACCCGTTTGCACTCAACAGGAAACAGTTGCTACCAACGCATACGTCGGTCGCTCTTGTTGCTGTCGACTCTGGCGCTGTTTGGTGCTGCCACGTTTCCTGTGGGCGCCACAACGCCAATTGCCACTCACTTACATGCATACATATGTATATGTAAGTGTGTATGTATGTATGTATGTATGTATGCATGTAGTTGAGGCTATGGCGCAATGGCGGCCTCGTTGCCGTTGAGTGTGCATTTCATTCAAACCAAATAAATTATTGAAATTTTTCGTTTCGTTTCGTTCCTTTTCTTCTTCTTGTTGTTGTTTTTGGCTTGTTGCTATCGGTGCAAATAGCTACAACACACACACACACACACACACATACACACACACACACTGGCGCATTTGTCACCATTTCCTGTCGCTGATTACTCATACGCTCCGTTTTCGTTCTGCTGCTCGTCGAATTTTCATTAAATGTGTTAATTTATTTCCATTTCCACACAATTTTTCTTTCAACGTTGCGCGGCTCTTTTGGCAAAGGGGCTTTTCATTTTCGCTGGCGAATTTTATGGCACCCAATTGAAGAAAGAGGCAAAGATTTAAATAGAGGAACAGCATATAAATCGTAAAATAAAATATGGACTCTGCATTTGCTAGAAATCATTTTTTTAACTGTAAAAAGTATTTACAAAATAAAAATATATAATATAGAAAACAATTAAAATGTATTCTTTGTTCTTTCGAAAGAAAAAGACGGCAAAACGTTAGATTAAGATTTCTGAAATGTGTTTGTCTTTTTCAAGCCATCACTAAGTAGTTGTAGAAAGTATTTTTAAAATATCGTTCATCGACTTTAGTGATAAGTCAATGATTGCGTTGCTTTATCGTCTTCCAAAATCAATAAAGAACAGGGTCACTAATTTGCTAATACCAGCCTTTTGATAAGTTGCTGCTAATTACGATCTAAATGGACTTTGACAAACAGAAAACAAAGGCGCAAAGGCACCCGTACGCGATTCAATCGTTACGATTTGATGGCCTTTTTCCTGTGACGCGCTTAAAAGCAATAATGCATGCAATCGATCATTTGAATGAGTATGTTAGCCAGACAAACTCAAGTGGAATATCTGGAAAGTAAGAAAGTCGTTGGCTTTATTGGACTCTGGTTAACAGGCCAGTTCTATGACTGAGGCGTTGGCCAAATCTTAACACTTCAAATGGGAAAGGTGTTAGCTTGCTAGCTGTGCGGTATGGGCGATTTTAAAATTCTGTACGAATTCGGAATCTTAGGCGCGATTTCATTGACGGCCTGACTTGTCTAAGGATTTCAAATTGTCGGATCCTCAATTCTACAAGCTGCAACGCATCGTTTTGCTTCTTGACGATTAAACTTTTTTTGAGCTATTATTTTATGACGCAAAACAGTACGTGGATATATTCCAAGACGTCCTTATAGCATGGGCGCAAGAGAAATCCGAAGCATATGATGCATCTAACAAAAGCATTTGTGGACAGTACAGATCTAAATCGCAGTGAGCTTAAATGGAAAGACGTTAAAAAGTCATTTGGATAAGTTTTGTGAACAAATTAAGAAAGTGTCATTGCCTTTCAAAAGATGCCATCCCCTAACAATGTTGATGAAGCGCTGTTTTACAACAGAAGGACTTTCCCCTAAAATACTCTACTATTAATAATACAAACGTAAAAAAAGCTACTTTTGATTTTTTAAAATATGAAAACAACCTCAATAATTGTTACTACTTGTATTTCTTCAAGTCATTGAATATGGGCTGTTTAGTAGTATCGATGGAGTTTGCCAATCAGAATGCAATCTGCATATCTGGACACCATTTAATTGAGCTCTCCTCATATATTAGCTGTGGAATTTTTCTAATTCGTGCTCGATTACGCAATGCTGGGTTCTCTTATTTGCATAAATTGCTACCAACTTAAAGGCTCAAAAGGTGTATGTATGGCCTACAAAAATTTGAACAATTTTGTTTTCGATTTAGCTGCAAAAACACACGCCGCGTCTTATATGTATATAAATACATATATTTAACTTAGTTTTTTTTTTACGCTGTAGGCTTCGACAAAAATTCGATGACGACGACGGCGGCCAACACGTCGACGATGAAAACAACATTAGATTTTTTTGTCGTATCTTTTTTATTTTTTGTACAACTTTTTCTTTCACGTAGACGTCGGCTACATAGTCGCAAAGGCAAATGCTTGTGTGTGTCTGTGGCGTGTATCAACGTTTATCTAAAAATATGATTTATATATTTCGTGCAGACCGGATGTCGTCTATTTTCATACAAAAACAACAACAACAACAGCAACAGCAACAACAAAAAGCTGTAGTGGCTGCTCGACTGCGGCCGCATGAATGAACGCAACGAAACGGGGCAACAAATAAGTACAACAACGAAAAATCAAAAACACAATTTTTTCGTTTTTCAAATTTATGAGACATAAGAGAAATGTTTGATAGAGCGACAAACATATCGTGTAGGATGTCATAAACAACAAAAATAACAACAGAAACACAGCCACAAGCATGACTATGATTATTTGCAAGAAAACATTGAGCGACACATTTAGTGACACACTTCTCGGGTGCCAAAAAAAAAAAAAAAAAAATATATATATATATATATAAATAACCCCCCAAAAACTGAAGCGACAGCGCTCAGACGCTGCCGGGCCCCTCCTCCTCCTCCTCCACCACCTTGCACGATCAAACAACTGCAAAAGCTTAAACTGCTGTTGTCAGCAGGAAATACTAAATTAGCCGCAGTCAGAGAGCGAATTATGGAACGCGCACGGTCGCTTGTCGAGATACATATGTAGATACACACATACATACATACAGATATATACGCCATATGCACAGACAAATCAGAGTGCCGAAAAATAAAACGAAAAAAAAAAAACCAAAAACAAAATAAAATCAACGAAACGAGGCATACACAAAATTCGCAATATCCGTCGCTGTCATCCCAAAAGATACCCAGAATCAGAATTTAGCGCTCGCATCTACAATTCCCTTCTTGCTGCTGCCGGTGGTTGATG